ACAGATGTTCATACAACCGGCTCACTTGAAATGAGATTCCTTGGCCTTTTATGTTTCGGTTTCATTTGTCGAGCTCTTCGTTAAGACATTAACTCACCACAATGCTATTAGTAGTAGTATATGAACGCTTCTTGAAGAGTTTTACAAGGAATTCAACACAGTACATATGGCTAGATCTAACCTGCATCAAGACTCGTTACCTAAGAATGTCAAAAATATTAAGGACATCAGAAGTGACACTCGAGAACTGATTGTTGCATACATCTGTTGTAGCCGCCAGCTATCTATTCCAGATTTAAGTGAAATGGTGTTCAGAGGACCGTGAGTCACAACTACCTTTATTTAAGGCAATCAATTTGAAATGAAGTAGAGAGCTCGGGTAACATTTTATCATATTATCTGACTAAACATAAAACCAACTACTGTTCGTGTTTAAAGATATTATATCATGCATACCATATCAGAATAAACAGGGAAATAAAGGTTTTTTATCACAATATGGAGAACAATTTGTTTGTTTGAGAGCAATACCATATCGGGAATCGAACCCCGCATTTTAGCGTTGAAAATCCGTAGACTTACAGATCTCCAACCAGGGGACAATATGGAGAATACAAAAATATATCCTCAATACTTATGTGCGTGTAAAGTTATTAGTTATTATATATGTATTCCATCCAGCAACTATAATCAAACAGTACAAGTTCAAATATACTAAAGATAACCGATGGCACCCTATATGATGGGTACTTTAGTTCATTGCAAAAGAAATGTATTGATTGCATTTCATGGAACGGAACAGCAAGGCTACTGACGGTCATCCAGATTCTGTGATTCTCTACTACTCCACCTTTCAGGATTTTAACTTGTTAAAACAAGATTCATACAGGTTTAACAATATATTTCTTATGTATGCATTTATACTCACAAGTCTTTCTCCAAAAAGGCACAACTAAGTAGGTTGAGGATTCGAACCCTAAATTATACTCATTCATACGTCTTTTGTCTTATAGGGTTGTGCTTACATTTAAGATGAATTTGAAAATACATTAGATTTATAATCTTAATAAGAAACTAAACAATTAACGTTTAAAGTTTGAAAGTTAAAAGTAATCTTGCGAGAAGTTGAGTTAAGTCTTAAGTATTTATAAGAAAATTCTTAAAAATATGGCTAATAATTCCAGTTTGGATATGTTTGGGATATCAGAAAAATGAACGCTGTTTTATCGTAATTATGATGAGATAAAATTCTAAAAAAAAAGTTTATTTCCATGTAGTACCAAATAATACGAGATGTTTTCAGTTAGGCCTAGTATTTAAGACTAACCAACAGGAAGAAATATTTAAAGAATATTACACTTAAGGCGTAGTGTAACGAGAATAATTGATATGTCTATATTTTTAAATAGAAACCACACTCAAACTTTAGAAGCAACTCATATTACTGCGATGTTGCCTTTTTATTCTCGACTAAAAGTCAACAATTTTATTTTGGGAATACAGCAAATTTTGTATAAGCATATCAGGAATACAGTTTCTTGCTTCTTTTGAGAGGATGGCGTGGGCAAGTGGTTGCCTAGTATACCATAGTTTTGTGGGTTCAGTGTGTTCGTGTCCCTCACAAATAAAAAAAAATAGAAAAAGATCGGGATTCACAGTTTGGTGCGTTATAAAGGTGACAATCAAACTCCACTATTCTGTCACATCAGAGTAGCTTAAGATATTTGGGGGTGTTGTTGATTAGCTGCCTTTTATCTAGTCTATCAGTTCAAACTAGGGAAGGCTTACTCAGATAGCCCTTGAGTAGGCTTGGCATAGCTAAGCGATTAGGACGATTGACTCGAAATCTGAGGGTCGCGGGTTCGAATCCCCGTTCCACCAAACATGCCCTCCCATTCAGCCGTGGGAGCGTTATAATGTGACGGTCAATCCTACTATTCGTTGGTAATAGAGTAGCCCAAGAGTTGACGGTGGGTGATGATGACTAGCTAAATTCCCTCTAGTCTTTCACTGCTAAATTAGGGACGGCTAGAACAGATAGCCCTTGTGTAGCTTTGCTCGAAATTCATAATAAACAAAGCCCTTGAGTAGTCTTGTGTGAATATCGATAAAAATCTTGTTTCTTTTTACTTTTATTTATCTAGATTACATTCACTGCCGATTCTATGTATTAATACACTAAGCAACTAACATATTAAAGCCTGATTTAGACACTTTAAATAGCAGAGTTTTTTTCTATTTATACCAACATCTGTTAATTTAATGTCGTTGTATTAATGCGCCTAAAAAAAACATACATAGGAATTCAGGGCTATAACAGAAAGAAAATAAACTGTAATACGGGGGAGTTAAATTCTCAGAAAATGATGTTTCTGGCAGTCTTCTTTCGTCGTGTTGCCTTTGAACGTGATTAAACATTTGTTATGGCGTGTACGCCTTTTACAAGCCGGCAAATAATAATTACAATTTTACTTGTCACAAGACATTAGTATTAGGCCTATTTCATTTGTAAACACTACATTCTTAATCCCTTAGGTATTTTCAAAATTTTATATTTGTCGTGGCCATTGCCAACGATGCGTTTCGCTCAATCCAGAGCTCTCCAGGTCAGCTGGGATACAACATTGCATAAAATCACGATTATGAAGCCTAATGTTTTCGGAAAAAAAACTTCAATTATCAAACAGGAAATTAATAATACGAAAGTAAGAACATTCGCTTGCAAAGATAAATTTCCGGTTTTCGAAGTTTTAGAAAAGCAGAGTAGATCCAGGATTTTTACCATTTGTCAACTTTCGTCGATATTTTTATTGTTTTACTTTCTGAAACCTTAAATTTTATTTTTTTCACAACACTTGCTTGCTTTTTTTTACGTAAAAGGCATAGATACGAGTCGCGAAATCAGTATTCTGTAAATATATTCCAAAATGACTTTATTTATTTCCTAATAAGTATTCTCATCACTGATTTAATCAACCGTACAATACACACCAGCTATTCCCATTGCAGT